AAAAGTACTGTTTTAATTTCATTGTTACACACACACACACACACACACACACACACAAAATGTTATTATTTGTTTTCAAAATCGTAATGGAAAAAGTTATGAAAACGCAATCGTCAAAGGTCTTTTCCACCAGACAATGCAATATTAGTCCAATATGATTCCCATGCTTATGCGGTCGCAGATTTTGGCGTGAACGCAGATTGGCACGTACTGAACGCTACTTGTCTACGATAATATGATTTATACCAGCCGAGAGTGTCTGGTCCCCTCGAAACGGCTGGCAAACGATAAATATCGACAAGCGTGGCGATTGAATAAATCATCAACGATAGAACAGGAACCGGGACACTCGTTCGCCGCGGCAGACGGTTTCACAAATGGCAGTTTAAACTGGAAAGGGAAATGGTTCTGTTAGTTCTCTGCCAGGACAGGACAAGAATTTCCTGCGTTTAATAGCCACGGGGTGCTCTCTATATATATTCGAAACGCGATTACGCAAAATTTATTTTCCGATATCTTGCCTGGCTTCCAAGTGTTGGGACTTCGTTTAGAGGCGCGAGCGAAGACAACGGCGGCAGTCGTAAAGGTAAAGCGAGAGTGTAAAATCTAATCACACGCTCGGCGCGACTTTGCTTTGTCGAAATCACTTTCCCGTCCGTCGTGAAAATCTCGTTCCCTATTTCCATTTGAAGAATGCAATCGGAGTTGGCGCTAATAGAATTTAAGGGCACGACAAAATCGATTTACGGTTCCCTCTTTTCCGTCCGGCTACGGTTGGCACTAATCCGTTTTGTCTGGAAGTTTTGGGGGGAATTCGGTTGGGTGAAGCGTCGAAATTCATGGCAATTCGACCGCTCCCGCAGCAAGATGGCAAAACCCGCACGCGGCATTTTTTTTTTTTTTTTGTTTTCGGCGCGGTCGTGGATTGAACGGATATTTGCGCAGTATCGTAAATTATACACGCGATCTCGGTCGGCCAAACGAATAATTGTTTATGTTTCGATTTTCGAAAGCTGTTCTGCATGATTGACAAACTACGAGCGTATTTCACGAAAATACATTTTTGCGCGTCAAACGTAATTCGAAACGGGGATTTACATTCGTGGAATCACTGTAGCCGCGAGGATAGGTAGAAAATTTCAAAAAATCTAAAAAGCTTTGCAATGTATAAAACGAATTGTGTGTTTTTCGCACACCGCTAAATTGTGCCGATTCAGAATCTTGAAATGCGTGCAATAAATTGTGAAATTGCAAAAAAAAAGAGCGATTCGTAAAAGCCGGTGATGAAACGAATTTCAATTGCCTTCTGCTGAATGGAAATGTCACAGTTGCTGCGTGTGAGTAATGGCGGTTTGATTTAAACTTTCTCGATGAAATTTCTATCTATGTTCTCAAAGAGAGAGACGATTCATGATAATTGTAGATTTGATGGACAGATGTCAATGAGGGACATTTCATATCTAACACACATTGTTTATTCATCGTGTGATGTGATTTTTAATCCAATAAGTAACGAAAATGGAATTGGAGACTATTTCCGGATTAGACGGTCTCTCTGATAGATATATAGTGCAAAAAACATATTTATAAGTTTGGCTGGTACATGTCTTGTTTGCAATTTTAAGCCTAAAATAAAAACACACTGCTTAAAACAGTTATTACAAAACTACTTCAATGAGAACGCGATAACACCGACATGACGCGCGTGCACATCGCATTCGCTAAATATGTTGGCGGCATTGAAAACGTAATCTTGATATACGCGTTCATGAAACGATACGTCTACAATTCCCAGGTGACAAACGGCGACACGCTTATGCATTCATATATTCATTACCGACATTCAGAAACTTCCGACCTCTTTCTCCGTCGTCGTACCACGAAACTGGGACAAAGTGTCATACAGCAAAGGTGAACACGCCGAGAAAAGCGATATTAACAGAATCGCGTTAAAAAATCCTCGAAGAATTCAAATAGATTCTTTCCAATCAAGATCGACGTCTTCCGGATTCGTTCAATCATAGAACTTTCCTCGGTATTGAGAACGAAATGTATCCGCGTTCAATTAACAAAATTCTGAAATAACGCGGTCATCGCAAAAGTAAGACAAGACGGATGTTGCGTTAATAAATTACTGCGAAACCCGGAGAATAATAACGCTTCAAATTTGTTACATGTACATATCAACGCGAGAACTAAAATACGAGTATAAATAATTCTGACATTGTTTGCAGTTTTGTTTTTTATTAATATTTTAACGTAATTAACTTTATTCTCGTGCGTCGATACAGAATAGTCTCATTGCAATCGCCATCTTTTTCGAGGAATAACACTCTTGTTACATGTACGTAACGCCGTAATTGATGTACACACATGAAGAAGAAACGCATTTCAAACGAAATATTATTTTAACAAATGAATGATAACTAATTGTGTTCTTATCATATATGTGTAGATATGTCGTTAATAGAAAGCATTTGTAATAAGGACAAAATTATCACCTTCGCGCGGCTAACGCGCGATATGATCAAGAATAGGAAGGTGCTGCGAATGCGGTCTGCATAAAGTCCGGCGTTACAAAAGGGAATACGTAATGATGCACTTAAAAGGGTGCGCAGGGTCAAAGAGGGAAGTTAAATATATCACGCTGCGCGACTACGTGCGAGAAATACGTACAGAGAATTACGGAGTGCTTCGAAATCTGACTTTAATCTCCACACTGCCGACGCGATACTAATTCGACATCACGACGAGACGTGCGGGTGGTTAGTGTCATAGGACAAATTTTTTTCCGCTATCTCTCTTCTCTGTTTTTTACCTCGATATTTCGTTCGCACAGTAGCGAGGAGTGTTATAATTGAATAATTTATCAGCGTCCGCGATGAGAAACGATTAGCTAAAGTTCGGCGATACTTCCATCGGGCTCTGCCGCTTTCAAAGCGGCAAGCTTAATACGAAGCTTCACAGGACAAAGTTCCGGGTTATACTTTAAAATTGCGCCGCGCAAAAGAGTTTATAATAAGGCGTACGCCGGAGGGGAAAAAGAGAGATTTACCGAGGGAGAAAGCACGATCCGCGTTGTCGATGGGCGATAGGTGCGGAGTTGCGTTCATTAAAACGGGAAAAATATCTACCTCGCGCGTGTCAGAGTCAAGGCGTATGGAAACACGTTCGTGTTTCAGATTCGATTTGACGAAAAAGTGCGCGGAGAAAATAATGTAAGAAAGGAAATAGAAATAAAAAGAAGGAAGCGCGGGGGAGAAAGAGAGAGAGAGAGAGAGAGAGAGAGAGAGAGAGAGAGAGAGAAAATAGAAAGAGACGCAGAATGAAAATGAGAAAGGTGAATGATGTAAAGAGCGCGCGTGACTATTCCCGGAGTATTTGCATTCATGAATCTCGTGATGTGGAAAAGCCGCAGACACGTGCAGCATTCATCGTAATGCAGCGCGGATTACTAGCGCATAATGTGATTTCGCTATATCAGCTTTTTTTTATTGTATCATCACGTCATCATATATTGAACATCACGCTCAGCCTCTCAGCTTTCAGTGATAGATTTTAGTCGCGAATTAATGTACGTTTGCATTTACACAAAATATGCAAATACTTTCCGAAAACTCTGTTCGATTAACACCACTTAAAAAAAAAAAAACAAATTAAAATTGCAGGTTTTACATTTATATTTATTTTTCTGTTATATTTGTCTGCTGTTGAAATATTTGTTTTAATTTCACATGAGAGTTGTGTGTAATACATCGTAATGCAAATTAATCGGTGTAACGTTCGGGAAAACTCATAAAAACGTCCGCTGTGTCTCCGGCGTCCGACATACAACAACGTGGCAGTGATCGATCAAGCTGAAAAATGCTAGGAACCACAGAAAACATATTTTGCTGAGACCGCACTAGAATTTCGTGAAATTTTACGACCGGAAGTTAAGCTGATCCGACGAAGACAAAGTTCAGAGCTATTATCCTTGTCGACGGAACGTGACTTGAATAAGAACACGTGTATTCGAAAAAAAAGGATTCCTATATGATTTTCCGCATCGTGTACATACATGTCGTTCTTTAGTACGGAAACGAAAACTGTATTATACTTTTTATAGTATACATATGCAAATTATATATACGTTATTTTAAGATAAAAATGATTAACATTTTTTGATTAACATTTTTCACGGCGAAAAAATGAAAGAAAAATATTACCTTCTGGTAAACCATTGTGTCAGTGCAATTCTCATCACGGTACTTGTCTGACAAATTTTTATGCTCAAGTTACGTGTTGCGTAAACAGCAACACACACGCAATTATAGATATGTGATAAAGTCTTCTTCCTGTCTGAAATAATGTGTCTTAATTTCTTTGTTTTTTTTTAAAATAGTTCTGTACACAAAGATTTCAACGAGTAGAAATTATTCTGTCATCGAAGGCATTACGTGACAAAACAACGTAGATATAATCGTGTACTTTGTACCTCGAATATAAATCATACGCTAATGACACTCGTGACCTAATTTGCGTTATATATACATTTGCCAAATCAGAGTAATAACTTATACGTGGTGCCATCTCACGAGAAAAGCAAAACGTTAATATATTTCTTACCTTGGATAAGAAGTTTTGGTAAACTTGAAATAAATATATCTTCTCGCGTTTAAAAAATTACATTTAAAATACATGAGTGAAGTAACATACACACTAATTATACAAATAAATCATATTTCTTACACACATATTTACAACATAAAAGTCAAATTTCCGTTTGTAAACAATTAAATTGAAAATAATTTTACATGATATTCTTAATTGTATTACATCAATTACTTCTTATTCACTACCTCTATCTGCCGATCCACTGTCGATCATCACACGCGTATTCGCTTTTGTTTCATACTCTTGCCTAAAGTTATGCAATGTTAGTTATTGCAAACTCTTCTCTCATGTACGTACAAAATAAATATTAAGATAATAACGAAAAAAATAATGTATACACGTACCTGTGTGATAAAGATAAAAATTTTGCCCAATATTTCTGAATTGTCACTACGATATCACTAGCACAAAATATACAATTTACACAATCCGAGGCACGATTTCGCGAAAATACACTTTACGATCGAAAGTTTATCACGAGATACGTCGTGTCGCGACGTGGAACGAACTTTTCGACGCGGATAAATCGAAATAGTTCAAAATGTTTTTGACGTCCCGACGTCGCGTGCGCCATGGCGATGCTGAACAGCTGTTCATCAATCGTGGGGGTTGTATTTGAGAGGAAGAAAGGGGTAGCTTTCGATGCCGCTGTCATCTAGCGTGGGGTAGGGTCGGTAGCTACTTTCATCGCGAACCCGCTGTTTAACTTCCGCGGGAAACATCAATTTCTGTCTTATAAATAACTCCTTGGTTGATAAACTTTTATCTATTAATGCTAACTATGTTGTTTTTTAATTTTTTTATTCTTACTGTAATTCTTCTATAAAATTAATTGTTTAATATATATACAATATGTTGTTATAGAAAGAAAAGACCCAGCATCTCTTATATCGTAAACATGCAATTTATCTAATCTGGTCGTGCGTATAATAAAATGAAACAATTGATTCTCGAATAAACGCTAATCTATGTGTGATGCATATTGAATTAGATCATCTCTCTTCTTTATAGATGCGTATGGTTTTTGTAATATGTAACATGCTTAACTTCGAAGGCCGTGATACCTGACGAAGTTATCCTTGCATGTCATCACGTGCGATCAAATAGAATTAGATACGCACATCGGACATCACGGCATGCGTATTTAAATATGCGTTTGAAATAATATACAACGAACGTATGTAAACGCACTTGTCCGTAGACAAAAGTTTATTGTCCATCACGGCATTTCTACAAAAATAAGAAAACAGTGTATGTAAATTATAAAAATAATTTAAAAGTATTTTTATTATTTAGAACTATACCTTGTTTATTATATTATTCACGTTGACTTTTACTTAAAAATTCAAGAAGTATTGTGGAAAATGTACCTATATGAATTCCGAAGTGTGAAAGAAACGTTAAAAAAATATATGTGAAAGTACCGAACGTTTTTAAGTAAACAATTTCTTTTGCGATAGCCTTTAATTGTGACACATTTAACGTTCCAACGCAAATGCAATTAATTTTCAATTCAACGCAATGTGTTCTCTGCCGCATTCTTTCGAGCTGTCTGTGCAAGATTCTCGCGTGCAACATTACAATTAGTTTCTTCTACGCATCAAGAAGAACATTTTCATTGCAGGTGGTTTTCTTCGCGATTCTCTTTCTTATCAATCTTCATTTATCATGCAAGTGTGCGTCAATTTTCCTGAACTGGGTGAATTGCTGCTATTTACGTTCCTGATAATATATATTCTCTTGTGTGTTTACTCACGTATAAGGTTCTCTCACTTGCACATGCACGCAGTCAGGTATGAATGTGTGACCTTGTGAACGCAACAGGCGTCACACCACAACCACAAGTCTACAGCTCGTAAACGGTGTGTACGATACTGTAAATCCCCTACTTTAACGGCAACGACCAGTTCCATGGCAGTTCTGTAGTTTCGAGTATTGATGCCCTGATGTGAATTTCTAGATTTTCGTGAAAAGTAGAAAATTAAAATTTCCTGTAACTGTAATTAATCACTTAACATAATGCGATTATGAAGACTGAAAAAATTCGTATATTAAATATATATATTATAGTGTGTTATAAATAAACCTAGCAATTTGTATTTTTTAATGTAAATGTTATATACACACACATATAGAATAATTAAAAAAATACATTCTTATTACAATGTTCATGTAATAATTATTTAATTAACACGAAACGTACATGAAAATATACATCGTTGCTCCTGTGTATCAGATCGTCTGCCTGTTGCATGGTGCCTCGTTGTTATCCGTTACTGCAACCGCATTTGTGTGTGTGCGCCTCTTATAAAGAGAACCCACGCGAGAGCACAAGCTGCATACCACGTCGGCGCGTCGCGCGCAAACCAGCTTGACGAGTGTCACGACTACGACGACTACAATTGCACGCGCGCAATCGCATACGAAGCCATTCATGGGGTCCCGTAAGCTTCGTTGATGATCGTTGGCGATGACGTAGTAGCGATCTCGGGATGCGTTAGTCACGATGTGCGGTGAATCGCATGCGAGCAAAGTGCAAGAATCTACGTGTGCGGTGAAAGCACGTCAATTTCCTTCTGATATATCGTGTTCACGTTCGATCGTGCCGGTTTGACCATGGAACCGAGCGTCTGACATCGTCGGCTATCGACAGGAAAAGATCTCACGAGGATCACTCGAGGCGCCGCCAGTTGCTGACTTTCGTCGGGGAGACGTGGATTCACGCCGGGTAGCAACGATTCTCTTCCTGCTCATCCCGATTGCTCGATCGCCGCTGATAGTGACCGGAGCAACTTGAAACTCCGAATTGACAGAACCACGTTTATGGTACGTGATGAGATATTGATTTCTTCTATAAGAAAAGCAACCTACGTCGTTGAAAGTTTTGTTGACTTAAAAATGACTGATATTACGGTTTGCTTATCTTTACTCACAAGAGGACGGATCCTTGAGGTACTTATCAAATCCAATACGACTAGAACTTTCATAAATAAACATTTGTGTTTCTGACAAATCAACAAACTGATTTAAATCAGTTCTGAGAGATATTGTAAATTACTGTCGGTTTAATTTACATTCGTTTCCAGTGAACCTAATACTTTTCGGATGTGTAATATCATTACAGTAAGAGATTGTCTACCGTGACGAATGCTGCGATAAAGAAATCGGAGTAATCGTCGTTATTTTTTCTTCGGTCGACATACCGTGCATTGAAGTCTCTATTAAGGAGATGGGAGACGCCGAGTGTCTATTGCATTTGGCGTATCAATCCTTGTTAGTTAATGACGTGATAATCGAGGTCGGTGTCTCCGCATTAAATGCGATTTTCCTCGCGACATTCCGTGATCGTCCGCTATTAAAGCGGGTCGCGCGATCGCACGAGATCGGTCGACGATATTTACCGGTGTGGTCGCGATGCAACGAAGATTTTTTTTTCTGCACGGGGAAAGTCTAAATCGTTAACTGGTTTCTTCGACGTTCACGATATGCGTGAACGTGGTTTTATTGCGCCGGGAGCGAAAAAGCCGGTCTGCTTTTATTGTCGAGCTATAGAATGGCCGATAATCACCTGTTGTTGGAGATAGGAGCATTATGTATAGTGAGAGAAAGTCTATTGTTTATGATTAAGAAACTTTATGACATCGAAAGAGATATCATTTCGAGTCAGGAGAATCGTGTCTTATTGACAGTAAATTACTTTAAATGGAAGAGAGATTTACTATATATCTAATGTTTCGTGTAAAGTAATATACAACTTAAATAGTAAACTTAAATCAATGCGTCTGTATATCAGAATGAAATATTGATATCTTGTTACAAGATAAAACTCTTTTAAGAAATTGTTCTTTAAATTTCAAAAGTGGAATGAAGCGTGTTAGAAAGAAATCACAATTTATTTATTTTTAATCATTGTTACTCTCGAAACAAGATTTATACGTAACAAAGAAAATAAAAAACATGGAAATAAATATAAATATATAAATGGAAAACCATTTGATCGTTAAATAAGATATCAGTTACTCAGATCTTATGTTATTTTGAAAATCGTATCCCCTGACGATTGCGAGCGGAGACGCGACATCGTATATACGCGCGCATATTAATAGCTCATCTTGCAACGACGTGTGCGTACAGCTCATTGCCGCAAAATTGTTCACGATAAAATTTTGCAGAGTGCACAAACAATGTCGCCGAGCTCGCAGTGATCGACCAATTATCCGCACGATTGTTTATCGATCCGATAAACCGTAATTGGAATTTCGAGAGGAACCGCGTGCGCGAAGAAGAATGGCGCTGGCAAAGATCAGGAATTTCATCGACAGCGGCCTGAAGACCGTGTCCACGCCTTTGGATCGCACGGTGAATCTGGAGCCGGAAGTCGGCATAAGAATCGTGCACTCGTTGAACGACAAGGCTCTTCACGTCACGGTGCTCGGTGCCAGACACCTGCCCCAGAACTTTGGCTTCACCAGAGTCAACAGCTACGTCGTAAAGGTAAAATAAACAGAAGAAGGTGGCAGAAGAATGTGGATCGATCGCAAACAAAAGGCGTGTACGTTTTATCGGCGCGGCTCGTGTTCTCGCTGCGCGGTGTACTCGTCTAAATTTAGTAACGACATAAATTTTCCTCGCCTCAATTTCGCGCGTACGTACAATTAAGAAAATTTTCTCCTTATACAAACGATGTGCGCGATGAAACGTTCACAGGATTCGATGAATTTGTGAATGTATCGAGGATGCTGGTCGATGCCGACACTTCTTGCGCGCACTGCAAGATCGCACACCGTCACGCTCCGCTGTACTCGAGTCTGAATTACGCATAAGAGACGCTCGTGGCACTCTTGGATGTTATCTATCGCTTACGTAATAGTACAACGGCAGTATCGTATTATAGAAGTCTGGCATTGACTGTAGTATCTTATTGACTGACGAGTTGTTCCTCGCTGCACGAATAGAACAATCTATCTATATCGTATAAAGATTATCTATGTGTGTATTTGTGTGTACAATAGCTATGTGCAAAAGTCGATTTTCCTATTTTAACATGCTTAGAAAACACGTTACGTATGCGCACACTACTGTAATGCACCAAAACATTGTAAAATTACATATTTATGAGATTTCATAATCTATTGTTGAAGAATAAGTGAGTCATCAGACGAGAACTTTTTCCTCCGCTGTCAGTTGAGGTTGAGATTTACCATCAAACGTCGAAGAAAATTACAATTTCATTTTCTAGGTGAAGCTAATTCCCGGCAAGGAAAAGTTCGAGACCACCACGAGAAACGAGTCCTGGCCGCAGTGGAATGAGGAGTTCACTTTTCTTCTGCGCAAAGAAACCAAACAGAAGTTCGGTAAACCGAAAGTCGTCGAGGAGGAGATTAACGGTTCCAAATTCATCGTCGCGACTCTCTACGCGATTCTCGAAGACAAGCCTTTGATAGCGACCGAAAAGAAGGAGTCGGATAAGGACAAGTCGCCTACGAAAGGAGAATCGCTGAAAAAAGGCGGGAAGAAGAAGGAGGGCCAAAGTTCGTCCGATAATCAGGACTCCACTAAGAATAAACTCTTCAGTCAATTCTTTGGCAAGGGTTCCGACAAACTTGCGGAATCCGCGACTGTGGAAAGAAAAGCCTACGACAAGAGGCGAACTGTAGGCGCGACGACGATTCCGCTCGATCCTAAAAACTTCAATTCCAAACCACCGAAACCAAAACACGCCAGCGACGTGTCCACGGGAGACTTGTGGAAACCGCTGCGACCGATCGCCAGTGGCATCTCGGGTGCCGAGGAAAGGGTAGGATTTTGTAGCTTTATAACAATTTCGTAATAATAATAACAATAATGTCATCGTCAAAACCATGATCGTTAATTGTGTCATTTCTTTACGGGAAAATTAGATATATTATTAAGATGTTCGGGTGTACAAACTTTATCAAGTCTTTAACTGACACTGTGCTGAGATTTAGTAGCACCTTGTAAATATTTAGTGATTCAAAAGTGCTGTTTTCGACGAAAAGATTTTCTCTCTTCTTCTTGAATGATATAGTTTTTATTTTTTCCACGAAGACATACATATTAAAAAAATCGATATCTAATGGACGTTTTTATTTTCTCGAACTCTTTTCTTAGAAGCTGTCAACTTGTATGTATTATTAAGTGACCTTATTTTTTTTCTTCATGATACCTTTTTCATCAGTTTCTAATTTTATAAGAACAACGACGAGATGACTCATGTGCTTTTTTCAGAGGGAAAACAAAAAAGGACAGGTCGAATTGTCATTATGTTTATCGAAGGGTGAGAAAGACGAAGACAGCGGTGGACAGCTGATCTTGTCTCTGAGTCGTCTGAGATGTTCACTTCAGACGATGCACGAGCATGAAGGTTTGAAGGGACAGATGTATTTGAAGATGTCGGTTGTGGACGGTGGAAGAGTGACGCATTTCTGGAAGAGCGATCGATTTGCACCGACGGTGTCTATGAAATTTTCGCCAGAGACAGCGAGAGTTGTCGCCGACAATCCATATAAAGGAGCTCTCAATGATGTGAGCTTCGTTGTAAAGTTCGTCTCGAAGAATAAAATGGGTAAGCGATAGATATCTATTTCTACGATATATATATATAAAATATAGACGCGTATATAATCACACATATGTCATTTCGATAATAAATATTTTAGGCAAGAAGACTCCCGTAGGCCACTTTGTAATCGGACCTGAGGTCGGCGGAACATACGGCGAGCAATGGAAGCAGGCTTTAGCGAAACCGGGGCAACAGATAACGAAATGGCAGGCGTTTGAATAAAAAAGAAAAAAAAAAAAGACACGCATGAAGTCGTCATCTTTCTAACAGCACAGAGCAAAAATCGTTGCACAACGCGCTTTTCCGTTTTAGATATCTAGAGACACTGCAGCGAAAATAAAAGCGCTGTACGTGGGTCATACATATTTAAGACACTGATCGATAAAACTGTTCCAAAGAATACCATATATGTACGCAAATGCATTCTTCAAACATGTTATTTTACATACGTTTTTACGCACACACGTCTAGAATTTGCGTTGCTAACTTTACGTAAAAGAAAAATGTGTGTTTCCAAGAATGTAATATCATTTAAAAATTTTGATCGCACACAAATTTCTTTACACATACAGACCGATGTTCGCCTATTGTTTTAAGAATAATTACAATTTTCCATTTGTAATTGTCCTTAAATTTGCAGAGAATAGTACGCTACATTTACTCTTCGAATATTTCTATAATAATATAACCGTCCGTAAAGAATAAGTATTTAAAAATCTATACTGCTTATATAATTAAAACAACAATCGTAAGCAGCAAGTACAACATATCATAATGTAAGACTACGAGAATATACTTTTACTTACCTTTTGTTTCATAATTAATATATTTTTGAGTGCATATCTCAATCGTTGGTTTTATAACTTTTATGGAAGTTGAATCAATTATCGTCTTTTAAATTAATATTTAAAAGAAACGATTCATTATACATTGCAATAATCAGCGATACTTTTTTGTATATTTAAACTATAAATGTGTTTAATGAGAATCTTACGCATCGACATAGAACAGAAAACACACTTCTATAATTAAATTTTTTTATACAAAAACGAAATATTTTTTATACATACAAATTTAGAGTATTAATAATTAAGTAATACGTTATATATTTTTACATTTCAACATATAAAGATGTCACCAACAATCCACGAGATTTCTTGAGTTTTTGCATACTCGTATTATTATATTTATATTAGTTAAAGAAATTAAGGTTTTACATATTTCTTGTATAATGTCTGTATTTTTGTTAATATAACATACATATGTCATATATACGTATCAACAGTATTTTAATAAGAGAATGTGTTTATATGATTGTAATTTGCAATTATGTATTATTATTGAAACAATATACATGTTAAATTACTTTGCACATATATTTTATTCAGATTTTTATTCTATATCTATGTAAAAGAAAAACAACTGTTTATAAATATATTTTGCCTTACACTTGCAAATACATTATTTCCTCTTAAAAACAATGTCATTAAGTTTCTCTTCAATTTATTATATATACACATACGAAATAATATTTCCATAATTGATTCCAGAAATAAATTTTATTGTCATTCCATATTGCTTACAATTCATTGTATCAAATTCATAATGTTGAACATAATGTATTGAGTTGTGTTGTACTTGGATGAATAAACTGCAACGGTCATACAATTATAAAATTAATTGCATATATTGCATACATCGTATGGCAGTAAATTGTAAAAATTAAATATATTACTAAAGAAACACGTATGTATATGCACAAAAGTGTAAGAAAATGGCAAAATGCCGTGTACTAACCTAAATTATTGATGATATTACTCTGGACGGACTTAGCAGTCTTTGATTAAATAACTACTTTGTGAGTTTTGTGATTTCTATATATCTCAATTAGTACAATCTATATATCTCAATTAGTACAATCAGAAGAAATAACAAATATATTTTTCCAAAACTTCCAGTAAAAATATAGTTTTATAAAACAATCGTCGATAAAACAAACGTTAACAGCGAATTCGGTAGCCTGCCTTTCATTGAAAAAAAATTGCGCTCAATGCGCACTTGTGCAGATGCTATCGAATTCGCTATAAGTCAAGCAAATTTATCTTACTGGAAGAGAGCGTCATCATTCTTGTATTCTTTTGTTTTTGTATCTACACACTTCATAATTTCTTTGTATCTGTGAGATATGCAAAGGCACTTGATTACATAGAAAAGTACAAAATTGCATTATAAAAACTATAGTATCTACGAATACATTTGATTACAAAAGTTTGTCCTCCCTGAAGTTCGATGAGTAAAGTAAAAAGAGTATTCAATAAGTACAAGTAAACTCTTGCTCAATATTAAGATATGGTAATCTATATATAATGTCGTGTAAAATTTAATATGAATCAGATCTGGTGATTGAAAAAAAAATTCTTTGGCTAACCTTCTTCAAATAGCAAATTTGAATCGAACGGTTGTTATCAAACCGATTAATAAAAGCAGATAATTCGCGTATTGGGATGATGCCGAGTTACAACCATCTTTACTATTGCACGTACAGTATTCCATAAATATATTATAGGTACCGGTTCTCATTAAGCAAAATCGCTCGTCACCCGCAATTCCCGGCTCGCCCATATAAGCGCAGCTACGAAAATACCTCCATTCACCGTTGACTGCAAAAAAAGAAGAGTGTGTAAGTTGAAACAATTGAATAAGACACATAACTTCATTTCATACAATGCAATGCACACCTTTCTGACGAATTTTACGGCACATTGTTGGTCTCACACCCGGCAGATGCTCCAGACCCGGTTCTTGTTTACAGTCTGTGATTGGCACAGTAGAATTGTCAAATGGATCCGCGCATTTTGGATCTGAATCCGATCTGCATACCCAACATTTGATAGAAAGTCCTAAAAAAACACGATGTAAAAATTTGTATCATATTATTTGTAACTAGAAAAAGTCTTTGAAAATATATTCTTCAAATTTTATTAGCGCTGAGTTTACTTAAATATGATTTATCACACTTTGTATCTATAGTGTTTAAGGTTAGGAATGTTTGTACGTGACAAAATTTGTATTCAACTTATTGCACAAATCTCTATAAAAACAGTGACGTACAAAATCACATATTGTTAATTTTGATTCCCAAAAAAGTTACGTGGAAATTAATAGACAAAAATCTGTTAATATTTAAATATATATCTTAATACAAACATATGACTTTTTAAAAGACCTACCTTGATGAACACAGAAAAAGAGGAACAGCACTACGAGGAGAGAAAAACGGATTTCTACGGCCATTTCGAAAAAAATGTGCGGGAGGAGCTCTTTGTTTTTTGCGTAAACTCTGCGAGAGAGATTCACTTTTTTCACAAACACTCTTTATACGTTCTTATATGTCCACGCCTATAACCGCGCTTATTATAATTGATACAACTGTACACACGCAGTGCCCCACCACATATACAGGGTGACTCATATGTATAGAGCTCGGGAAACGTGGGTCACAACCTGCTCTCGTCCGACTGATGATCGACCGATTCATGTTGCACAAAAGTTGTTTACCATATACACACATTATAAATAAAGAGATAAATCTAAACTTGTTCTCTTGAGAGACACTATATACACAATATATCTATGTTTATTATTTACGTTATCACAATACGAGTTGTATTAACCGTAAAACTATTATTTGAAATAAATTTAAACCTACTATGGATACTCTAATGATATCTCTCTCCATAGATATTCTACTTTTACTTACCTTCCACTAAAAATGATAAATAAAGAATACTAAAAAAAAAAAGTAGCAAAATTTGATAAATTATTAAAATTGTACCTGTTGTATGTGTGCATTATAAGTAACATCAACTATTTATACGTTACTGAAGGGACGTCGACATTACTCGGCTTCGAAGTTACGTCACACATGACTCGAGTTAACCGCGCCCCACAGATGCAATAATTGCTTGCTATAGTGTTACCGATATATAGTTACGAATGCGTATATATAATACAATAAGAGATGGAGTTGCTGTCGTAAAATACAAAAAAAGCGTAAAATACAACAAGAAAACAAATCTTAAAATTTATTTTTAAATAGAAATCTAAGATTTCAAGAAGAACAAGATTTTAATTGTTACATAATTATAAAATATTTTTAAAAAAGTGCTTAGCATATAACACATTTTTTATGCCTGCTTATTATTATAAATATCTATAATAATGTAAACATTAAATCTTATAACTTCACATTTTATATAAACACGTGTGTGTGTAAATTTGTTTTGGAGATAAACATCAGGTCATTTTAATCAAAGATACAGTATAGTGATACAAGAAGCAAACTGCTCTTCGCGCATACGGCGATCTACCAGCTATCTGTATCAGTCTTGAAATAAGGGGGCAATCTGGACCCCACGGATCTCGTAGCCCGCAGCGAGCGGGATCGGCTTGCTTTCGCGGGTGGTCCGCGTCGACAGCCGACAACGTTCGCAGTCCGTTCCGGGGGGAAACATTTAAATGCTATAAATAAATATAAATAAATTGATTTGCCGGCATTAGCATAAGTAGCGTGGGGAGACAGCAACTTGGAGACTTCAGCGTCTCTCTCCTCGCCGACTTTATATACCGTTCCCCTCTCGCGCAAGTCTCTTTCTCTCTCTTTCTCTCTCTCTCGACCGGACGTTGATTTATATTGGTGTCCGTTCGGTTCCTACGGCATTCACTATGTCCGCGACTCTTCTTCCTTTCAACTTAAAAGGGCACTAAGCTGTAGAGAGTCCGGATGCACGCATGAAAATCCTCGTTTCCCTCAGTCTTGAAATCGTGAGAATTAACTTAAGAGAAAATGAGAATGTACGCTGTTTACACTGCGCTTATTATGTTTATATTACTGTGATTAACATTACACACTTGTTGTGTGTCTCGTCATCATGCGAGAGAATCAATACGAGTAATAGCACAGTTGTTTAAAACAATTGCTCAAAATTGAAATGCAAATGTAAAACTAACAAAATTGTTATCGAAGATGTTTGAAAATTATAGATTGAGAAGATAAGCATTTACACCTTCCTGAAACTTTAGGATGTGAACAATGCAGGATAATTTTGTCATGATAAGATAATTGAATGAGTAGAGCAATGGCTTAATCTGCGAAAATTGCACGTTACGTGCAAAGAGCTTTTATTTAATATCTGATGTAAAGATGTTTCTTTTTTTCTAATACGGAACCATTAAGTAGCAACGATTAATAGTCCTTGAATATTACGCGGGCGAGTATTATATTTTTTTCCTTGCGTATAAATGAACACAAATTTGATATAACACAGGCACCATTTCCTTCATTAATATGTAACCTGAATACTCGCAGTTTAATTGCAATTAATCGATACCTGTTGTCGGATTATTTTTCGCAGTTGATTATTCCAGTTCATTGAATAACATAGTTGCTTTTTTTCCGTCATCCGCGGTAAGATGAGGATTACACGACGTTTATATTTCAAACCTTCGCACTCTCTTCATTAAAAGTCAAAACCGCTTCTCTTCGCTGTATAATCGTACACACGAAGACTTCCTCGCGGATATCTTAAACAAAGTGATTGCAAACATCACGGGCGAAGGACGCTCTTCTCTCGCGCTTACCTCAAGAGACTCGAAACGTTCGGACGACCGAGGCGGACGATATTCTCGGTAAAATATTCGCGGCAACAACTCGCATTGCGTACAAGACGCTTTACGTAAATGCCGACTGGACAGGGCACCAAGAGTTTCAAGTTTCTTTCTGGACGATGTCACGCGATCTAGTCGTGTATATCTCCGTGTCGGAGCGAGAGCCGGATGTCGTCAAGCGCGCGGATTCGTGGTCGAAGACATGAGACGCTTTATTCACAAACGCGTCCGGTCGCGGGACACTAATGATACTTACGAGTCGATCGTGTCACGATCTCGTAATGCTCTTTCAAACAATACGCTCGATCGAGGAAATATTCTGTTTGCGCACCACTCCTCGACACTCAACCTAACGAGCACTGGGTTTTGAAAAGTGGCACAAAAATTACTTGAAATTATGTTTCTATTTATTAAAAAAAAAAATCATTGTCTCAACGACGCGTTCGAATCAAAAAACCATTGCAGGTCACTTCCTCAGGTTCTTGTTCCAAAAAGTGAACAGAATACGGTTTGACAATATAAGTGAGAAACCATACTAAAGATGACAAGACCTTGTCATTTGTCGCCAACGGTCAGGTATGTCTTCTCGGTAGAGTCGTCTTGCGATGGACATTTCCAGCGATTTATGATGCTTATCTGTGTACAAAAACAGATTCGTGGTAAGTGACATCATTATCTATAAGAAAAACGCGCTCAGATACACGAAAACAAGATAAATTTAATGTTTCTTAGTCTGTCTTACTCAACAATTTACGTGCTGATAACAAGATCGATTGATTGCTGCTGTCGTTTTTATTGGAACTGATTTGCAGATATTTCATCAGCTTGAAATCATCCACGTAGAATTCAGAATACACTTTTTTTGCAAAATTTGAGGATTAAATTAATCAAAGGATGACGTAATCGAAATGAATAGAAAATATTGTTGTTAAAAAATTTGCTTTCATTATGCAGAGATGTATATCAACCGATGGCATCACTTGTGCGTAAGTGATGAATTGATTCTCTTAAGACGAGTATGTTATCGAGCAGAAATTGCCGTGAAATTTATGACTACTAGACGAGATTACAATGGCGACTAATGTCACGCGTATACTTTAATCGTGTTTCACGCGCTACACGTAGTTAATCTTCGTTATATGCAAGCGCGTCGTTATATGTCGTCGTCGTCGCATAAATCGTTATAACATCGTCGGCGTGAGATGAACGCGAGCAATTTCAATCAATGTAACAGTTTCCTCAAACGAGTTGACCGCCTCCGAGCTGCTCTCTTTCTCTCTCTCCCTCTCTCAAAAGAGAAAGAGAAGAAGAGCATATCGAAACCCGCTTAGGCCGAAAAGCGGCCCTTGTTTCGAGAACGAAATCACCGGCTTGAAGAGCGGACATGTTATTTTTTCCTCAAAAAACGGCCAATTTCGTGTAATCTTCTTGCGAGAGCGGGGCGTGGTCCAGACCCCATAGGGTATTCCACGGAGATATATTCTCAGGCAACTGCGACATGTGCCATTAAGTCCTTCGAAAGACCTTAGAAATAATCTTTCCGTTTTTAGACTAAATAAATACAAAGAACCGCAAATCCGAAATTTTTCGGAAATGAAAGCGAAAATCTCTGACAGTCGCGTATCTCTTTAACTACAACTTAACTTCCTTATTTATTGGACTTCGATAAATAAATCAAGAACCGAGAGATGTCGTAAAACCGGCTGTTTACTCGAATCGCTTACCGAACGATGAGTAAAGTTCGTTAAAGTTGCGTGAGACTAGAATGTCCTTCTCATCCCAGACAACACACAGAAAAGAGACGAAGAAATCGTGCTCCGAGGATACTCTCAGACACATGACGGAAGTTCTTCTCTCCGTTTTGCGCGAGTTGTGAGCAAGCTTGTTATAGAATCACCGTCTGCATTTATTTCTAGCATCGTCGTCACGGCGATCACTCTGGGATTCTCACGCGGGATTTTCATTGTCATTTTGCACTGGGATAAACTCGCCCAGCCGCGTTGTTCGTAAACATACTTATGAAATGTCATGTCATAAAAGTAAGACTCACACATCTCACGATTTCTTTTCACGAACACTTATTAAACACAAAAACGTGCGCGTTGTACATGTATTTTCTCATTCTCAAGAAGAATTATCGTTTACATGCGCAAAAAAAGCAACTTCAGTAGCTTGCTATTAAGTAGCTAATCCAATTTTAAATTAATCGAAGAGTCGATCATTGACGACTAGACTAGTAGTCTGGCCGGTTCGCGATCGATCGGCATCGCTAATACGTTTTATCTCCTACCGTGTGATCGACGCCAATATACCGCGCGTCAATTCCTCACACGAACGCGTAAACGCACCTTCATCAGATATCTTCTGCCGATGAAATTCCCATCGCGTCCCGTCGTTATCCGCCTGTTCCCTCCGCAGAATCGTCGTCCACTTCCGCCTGACTCGGCAAGCCACTCCTCTCAGCAGCCTCCGTTGATACTTCCTCTCGCGCGCGTGTATCTCGTCAGTCGGGCCGGAGCCACGTGCGTGTGCTCGCTCGAGTGGCTGCCGCACGAGCACAACGTCGGGGGACAGTGTCATTTCGCGCCTACGAAACGCATGATCGTAACCAACATGTTACGATTTCGGTGACAGAACGTCTTCGCGTTTGTGATATAATCGCATTTCACGAGATTCTTCTTCGGGTTTTATCATTCACTTGATCGTCGATTGTTTCATTGATTCGATTGTCGCTTATTTCGAGGGAATGAGTTAGTTTTGCATGTTGCAACTGAATCAATCGATTTTACAAGATATTCAAGTGTTGACAACGCGATTCTTAAAGAAGACAGTCGGACATAGTATAAGTAAAGAATGTATAAAACAACTGAGAAAAAATCGTTTGATCACTTGCGGAAGATCGTATGTGTGTGTGTAAAGACAATGCGCATACAACTAAAAAATAATATTTTTTTCTTATCGAATAACATAAATGCGATGAGATGTTGACGCGTGTACGCAACTTAAAACATTGCTTGGAAAGATAAATATTACGTCGACACGAAGAACTCGCAGTGAAAAATAATCGCGCGTCACATTTAGACACTAGAGGAGAGTCCAAATACTCTCTATTGTGGGTCCATCAATCAGGCTCGCCAGCGAGCGGCATGTCCCGTCGCCGGAGCCGGCGTACAACAGTCTTGTTTCGGAGAAGAACAAAGATATCGTCGCGAGATGAGAGAGTCTAGGTAGATCTCAAAGGTGAAGACAGACAGTTGGAGAAGCTTGGGAGAACTAAAAATATCAGCCGGTTCCGCGGTTGGACGGCGTCGCGTCTTTCGCGCCCCGCATCGTATCTTCACGCTGGACAATTTTGTCGACTGGAGAAGAAGAGGCCTGATATCTGCATGAAACAGAGATCGTCTTTAATCTCGCGAAGAATTTCGCGGTAAGCAACGTCACGATTGTCGTTACACCGCAAAGCGGTTCGTTGACAGAAGGAGAGAGACGTTCAGTCGGTCGCGTCGTGATTTCACGCATAATCCGAGACTCCGTTTTCATCTGCTGTTCTGTTACTCGTCGTCTTCTTCTTTATTGTCTCTCGTCTGCCGCTGTAAATTCGCGAGCGAAGACGCATCGACGTCTCGTCGACGTCTGGAACGGCTTTCATGAATCAATGAACTTTTTTAAGCGCGCCAAATATTTGAGAGCTATTTATTCTTTCGCGCGTACCGGGTGAACATCGGGAGATAGGATTTCGTCTGTTGGTGAGGGTTATTTTAGGGAAACCGAAGTGAGAGAAAAAGAGAGAGGGAGGGAGAGAGAGCGAAAAAATATACAGCCGAGTCCCGCGTTCTCCAGGAGGGAAAGACGTCAAGTGCGATCTTTTGATCTTGTAACGATCTGACGTGAGAATAAGACGTCAAACGAAGTTTCGCCAGGAATAAAGTAACTAAAATGCATGAAACGTGTATTTTTTTTTTATGTCATCTGTTTCTGAGCTGACCGGTTTGTGAACACCGCGCCGGTTGGGAGAGAGAGAGAGAGAGATAGAGGTATCCGTCACGCTGCGCTATAATGGGAATCTCTATGACACGTATAAAAACCGGGGGTTTCATCGCCGAAGAGATCGTTACCGGAGTTCTGCTTTTGATTAAACCCATGTCGTGGTTTTTTTGTTTTCACGTGGAATTAGTGTGACTCGTTTGACGACTAATTGCTTTCATGTAATAACACGCGCTTGCGAAATAACACCGTGACTCTCTCCGCACAATTTTAAATTATTAAACGTTAGTTCGCCTAAAAACAGAAGACCCGTCTATCTCGGATTTCAGCTGCGTAAACGTGCTACGTCAACGCGTCGAGACGCCGCTCGCGGGACACAGTGTCAAGGCCAAGAGCTCTCTCGTCTACTCATCGTATCTCGCAGCGGATTCGACGAAAGACCGTGATCACAGAGGATTGTACACCTCGCAAAGTCTTTCTCACCGACGGTATTTTACGGCGCGCTTGTTTGAAATTCTTCGCGTGGAGTAGCGCCCGTATTTATAGACCCCCGTGTGTGGCGTTGCGTATAAGACGCGTGTGTTCACACAACTCTCGGTCTCTCTCTTTCGAGCGCCTTTTCTTCCCGAGGGAGGTGGGTAGGTAGGTGAGTTCTTGGGACACCACGCAGCTGTCGTGCCGAGCCACGTCGGGGACCAGATCCGCAGGAAGCAAGCGGCAGCACGTCGCGATCATGACGCGATGCGTTCGCGACGGGAGTATCACCGGCCTGTCTGCCCGACGACGAACGCGTCGCCGTCAAACTGTCTGCGCTGGCTATCTCGCTGGCTGCGATCCGCTGATCTACTTCCGGGCATGATTGCCGGCGACACCGCGGCCACGATCCTTCGAGTGCTCGTCGTCCTGCTCGTCCTCGGTCAGACGGTCGTCGTCGACAGTCTGGTAAGTATCTTATCGTTCAATTCACCGTCGCTATCACTGTCGACGTACTTTTTTTTTTATCTCGCTTTGAAAGTTCTTTGTTATCAGCGAAAATATAAACTGTCAAGATAAAGTAATACACTTTAAACACAAACCTTAAGTACTCCGACAAAAATATTTCTGACTCATCCTCGTTGTCAGAAAAAATTATTAAAAAAATTTTCTTAATGCGAATTTCTGATACGAAATTAGTTGTTAGATTAATCATTTGAATATATAGAGTTTTTATACACTTAGAAGCTTGAAGTTACATTCCTAACTGAAAAGATATTCCTCGAGTCTACTAGCGCGATAATTTTTGCGATAGCGATCATTTAACCTCCGAGGTCGCAGAAGCAACAATCCTGCGTCGTATTCCGAGAACCAGAACTTTTCCGACCGATCAATTATTGATCGTAAAATCGATTAGACTAGAGAAAACGGAGTATTACACGCGCCTTGTATCTATCTACTCTGTACACTGTAATTTCGGATGTTTATCGTGAATTTATTTAATTGCCTTGTGTGCCGAATCGCATGCGGTAACACCTAATTGTAGCATAAGTTATGTACATCATAATTTCAGAAATCATACATGTAATTTTGCATTAAACTTTAATGAGAATAAATTGATATTGACCCGAATAACAACGTCTGCAAAAGTACGTTTAATTAAATTAGATTTAGTTAAGTGAAATTACATTTAATTTCTTGCTATGCACTTAAATCTCTACAGTATAATTATTATAAACACTTATCGATATGTTGACAATTACTACAAACACTTATTGTTAATTATCTCAATTAATGTTTTCGAGCACAAACTCAAATAACTTAAAGTGTCCGTTTGAAAACATTAATTAAGATAGTTGACAATATAATGATAAAATGTTCTCGTGCTAAACTCACTCAGTAACAAGACTCAGATTGATGCAATTCAATTTGTCAAAAATAAATTGGTGATTAGTAGATAAATTAAAGAAGACAGAAAGGTTCGAGAAGCCCGGAGCGTACAATAAAGCATCGTGTCAGCAGAAACCTAGCAATATAACTTGGCGCAATTACCGACTAAAGTGGAGAAACCTCGTTTTAGCTAAGCACGCCGAGATAATTATTGTAATTTTGTTTTGTGGTTATTCTCTCTCTCTCTCTCTTTCTCTCTTTCTCTCTCTCACTCAGACTGCAATAATCATTTACAGTTTCGAGGTTAATGTGCCAACGCGTTAATAATATCGTTTGAAATTGTCATCGTCCTGTAATCGCTGTAATGTAAAAACTTGCGAGGTTCGCAGGCGTGAAAATCGAGGTATGCGTATTTCAAAAAACATACGGAGTTCAAGGTTCACAAAGTTACGAGCAAGGCTGCGGTACACGTGTTGCACACATTGTATAGAGTCTGCGTGACGCAGACAAAATACGTTCTACAAAAGAACGCGGAAGGTCAGACTTCTAAACTCACATAGTCATCATAGTCGCTTTATCTCACGTGAGATAAAGTGTCTAACATTTGTAAAACATTTATTAAAGTTGAAGTTTATTTTCCACATTTTGTTTTTTTTTTTTTAATAAAAATACAAGATACAACTACGATCCCAATTGGTTTGTATCTTTTGAAATATTGTCAACGGAATATCGTTTTGCATCGCGAAACACTCGACGAACGGGTCTCGAATGTGCAGTACGTGATACTTGGACTCTTGGATTTTTTATCGAAATTCACAGTGGTGCGCACTCGAGTGCCGATCTCCGCGATAAAATCCTCGTCAGTTGTAGCGAGGCGAGTTATATTTGGCTGGACGAATGGTACTCGGGCTCTTTCGATGCACGTACGTACGTGACGTTGCCGCGCGTGACGGTATCACGTCGTAATCGGGCATCCGCAAGAATCGCGCTGCTCATCAGGGTTATCGTACGCAACGCGACCATTTGGCCGGTCATGCCGAATGATCTGTTATAACCATCTGTTAAAGCAGCCGATGGATCGCCTTTGTTCTTATCGGCAATAGCCGAGAAGAGAAAGAGAAGATAAATATATATATTCGCGTACGCACGCACGAACAACAGAGATGGAAAATGAAGATAAGCACATTATCGTAAACCTTTCGCTCATCTGACAATACACAAACAAAAGAGTCAAAATAATCATTATACTAAAAATTTCATAAACATTTAAAATACAACATCGTATCATCAACCTGTCGATCGTAAATTTATCCTCGATTTTTGTGTCGAAGAGTAGGTTTTACTTTTAATCATCGTCTACGTTGTGCGATTTTAACCGTTTAATCCCGCTCGCGCGGGAAGGTTTCACCGTTCTATAGAGGCGAGTGGTATCAATACAGTGACAGCATAATCGCACGTCCGCAGCAATTTCTGCTTTCTATCGCGGAAAAGGAAAAATGACATCTGTACACTTCTTGGCACTTCGTGAAGAGTCCTTTGAGTTCTCTCTAACCAGGCAGGCTCTGCAGGAGTGCTGGCTCGGATCCCAAAGAGATGAATCAACCGCAATGTCAATTTTCTAATAAGTCGCCAGTGAATGTAATCGAACATTTGCGTGAGGAAGACGAAACTTAAGTCGGTTGTATCACTGAACACATCTCCCGACTTTCTCTAACCGTGTAGGTGCCTCTTCCGTTGACGGTTGACCTCGGTCGTGTTGCACGTACCATAAGCACCCCGCGGTGAAACTTCCTGTCGTCTTATGCTCACGGGTACTACCCGTTACTCCATTACAACACCAAAGAACCCTGTCAGAGGTCCAGCGGCGACTGTTTCCACTTTCCCGTGGAGACAATCGTTGTCGCGGGATAACCTTAACGCGAATTATCACGCGAACACAAGCTTAAGTTGTCCTTCAAATGATCTTTTTGCCGTCACAATAACGAGAATTGTTAATTACATACCTTTACCTCTTTTTTTTTATATAATCAAGGACGTTTCTCTACAATTTAAATAAGCAAAACGCGTAGTCAATTGTGAAGTATATCGCGTTTATTATCTTGACGCGTTATTGTCTTGACGCGTTATTGTCTTGACGCAAAACACATCCGAACCTTATTAGCAACGCTTGTTTTGTTATTTATGCTATTTCTTTGCGCATTCCGAGTTTTTAAAGCTGATTCGCGTCGATCAGCTCGCGCTAAACCCGCCGCCGCGTTCGACAATGAATCGCCAGTTTTCGACGGCAACAAATATCTCGAATACCGCATTCCGGAACGCGTCTGTGTAAAGTAAAAAAAGAGCCAAGTCTGCCGTAAGTTAATTGTCTAATGGGGAAGCCGGCTCTTTTCTTTCGCTTCATTTAAGCCGCGCAAGAAGTGCTCGGGGTATCTCGCATATTTTTCATCGGAGCGAGAAAAACCAGGAAAGACTGGAACGTTTCGATAGCACCCCGTGGAGAATCCTTTCTCCCGCGGGACCTTTCTCTCTCTCTCTCTCTCTCATTCTGACGGATTCAGCTTCTTGCTGCGTATCGTGACGACTATCGCGTGGAATTCAGCCCGTTGTCGGGCAGGAAGTATGTGAATCTCGCGGTTGATAAAAAGTTGCCGTTGTCGGGGAGAAAGAAACGGAGTATCGCGACAGGCATGAAGAGATGCGGGGGACTCCGGGAATGGATGTGGAGGACGTAAAGAAGGACAAGGGGAATGTCGCGTAAGATTCTCTTCGGCGGCGTCCTGAGATCCGCAACCGGCGTTCGAGATCCACCCGTCCATCTTTCCCTACGCGAGATCCACGCCGTGTCCGTCCGAGAATCGTCTCCGCTCGATGTCTCTCCCTCGTTTCACCCACTCCCGCCTGCCGCGTCTCGTTCCTCATCTTCTTTCTCGTGGTTTCTTTGCCAAGAGACGGTTTCACGTCGTCCGCGCCAAGACCCGGCGATTCCATTGTTTCGTCGTCGATGTGAGCGCGGGGAAAGCGGTCGCGATGCCAACGGCGGAACGAACGATTAAGAATTCTGCGCGACCGGCCCGGGAGTTCAACGCGTGACTGTCGAGACCCCGAGACCACTTCGCAGGCATCCGATCGACACCACGACTCATGACACGAATTACCGTCTCACGTTTGATTCAACGGTGATAAAAGACGCATGACTTGCTTGAGTAAAGTATGTGTAGACGCGCGCGTCTGAATGGAATACTTGTTCAATGGCATTTCGTGCGCGCATGTGAAAGCAGCGCGCGGAATACCAGATTTCTAAATCTTCATTGTTTTGGGACTGCATTGTGTCGCTTCGCGAATAGAATAGGTAAAGCATGTTTTCCGGAAAAAGAGAAGATGTTTCTTATGCACTTTCGATTACGCAGTATTAACGATATAACGATTGTCGATTTTTGTTTTTTTACTGACGTCGCTGAATTCATAAGCGCGTAAAGTTTGCAATAACCGGTTGGCACGATCAATGCACTGTTGCACGTGACATTGTGCCTCCACTTTGAATTTAGCAATCGTCGCGCATGGAGTGGGAATGTCTCGAAACAAGTTATTCCGGTATAACTCGTCTACGCACAAAGAGCTGCCTTCATTAATATCGCGTATTAACTGTTGCCCGTGTAAGCTTTCTGCTAAATGAGCGTATCGTTTCCCGTGAATGCGTCTGTTCTATTCGAGGGAGCGACGACGCGCGTTTTGTCGCGCAATTTCACGTTCTTTAAACACATCCGAAATTCGTTGAAGCCACTCTCGCAAAGTTCGACGACAATTAAGTTTTAAGTGATACTCGCTCAAAATATGCACGTTATCAGTAAACGATATTCCATCGGTAAACGATAATTTACGCGTATTTTTACACGCGTTAGAAATTAACGGCTAAGAAATATCTATGTCCAATCGGTAGGATCGCAAGTTTGCTGAAAAATCACGAAGAGTATTTATTGAGGCGCGCTTTCAATTCTATCGCATCTAACGGAAAACAAAAACGAAAAATGATGGCCGATCATTATGAGAGTTCCGCGTGGCATATCGATGAAGTGCTCGTAAAATTAGCCGCGAGCGCCGATGCATCGGCGGTATTTCATGCGAGCGAATGCCAGTGTCGGGGAACAATGAGGAGTTACACAGTTCGCAGTAATATAAAGCGGTGGCGTATATATGGTGTCGGAGACGCTGATCCGGAAATAACCGCGCACAAGTTGAACATACGCGCGCGCGCGCACACACGCAGAGGAACACACGAGCGACGGGAAAGAAGAAACAAGACGCGTAGAGAACACGGATGGTTAGACGCGGTTAAAGGCGCTCCAGGTGATTCCCTTCGCTGCGTCTTCTTAAATGAATCCCTAATGGCCAGTTTTACGGTCGAAATTTCCGACGCCAACACAAAATGACTGGCTGTGAACTCGGTTTCTATACTCATAAATTTCAGGAATTGATCTCCGACATTATTTCTCGCTCTCGACGCTTCTTTATATTCGCATAAAATCTAAACGGGTACCACACGGTCTCCTTCAACTTTCACAGAATCGCGAATTCTTGCATGTTTGTATAATATTTCATGGACCTGTTTTTTTTTCTTTTAGTAAGAAGTTGTTCTGGTATATTACACATATTAAGCAATAATAATTTTTTTGTCGAGATGATAAATCACGCGAGTAATCTCACCGTAGACATTGAGATATATGTATATTGCGAGAGAGAGAGAGAGAGAGAGAGATAGAGAGAGAGAGAGAAAGACAGAGAAGAATTTGCGCGAGAAGCTTACGAGACAGAAACTTAATAAACAAGTAAAACCACTACCGCGGCCAGCGATAAATTTCGCGTACTCTCGCTCGAGACTGAAAGACAAGTTTTATGTAACGAGTACCATATTAGACATATAATATTACCGCAAGTGGATCAGAGGAAATAAACGGCGAGATTGCGGCGAACACGGCAGCAGTTTAATGCCGCCGCGTTAAGTCAGATCGCGGGAGATGAGAAGCGAGGCAGCTCACACACAAGCCTCCACTACACGGATTTGCTCATAAGGAAGCGACTTTAGTTGTCGACAATATCTTTCGCGGAATTAGACGGGCGACTTTTCGAGACATGCGTCCGCGCGCACACGAGCGTTTATTACCCCGCCATTAAAAACTTAATTAGAACGGAGAGCGGTATTTATAAGCTCTCTCGTAAACCTTGACTTGAAAGAGCATCGAACAACTTCTGTGTAAAGTAAGAAGTGACGCAAACGTCGAAGAAATAACGTCGCGTCTAGGATTCAGAACGTTTGAACAACGCGTTGCCAAACACGTCCGACTTTCCAGGCGTATGAATCGTCCCTAAACAACTGTCGATGCGGCGATACGGCGTTATTATACTTTATGACGCCGTTCATTACTTTAATCGATTGTTGGCGGGACAGAATGAACGCTCGCGCGATTGTAAGTTGTGAACCTCATGAATGTTACGGGTCTAACATTATCCACGCAGTGACAGTGTCACAATGATTATCATGCATGCAAATACACTCTAACAATTACATCTCTTTATAAAACGCCGAGCTTGAATCAAATGTCTCGGATATATCAAAGTGCTACAGCCGTATATAGTTGAGAGAATAAACGAACGTATTATGTGAATATATGTAGGTACTTACTATTCAAATTACACGGCATTTCGTTAACGAAGTTCTAATTTATCTCCGCTCGCAGAGCAAGCGTAACTTCGACATTGCGTGACATTTCATTTTTCCAGCTAGCTCCTCTTTTGTGAAAATTGTTGATTGACCAAAACGACTGTGTGTTGGAAATTTATTTTGGTGATACGAGACCGCAAACACATACACGTACGAGTATTCGCGAAACGATCGCGAAACAACCCACGTCGAATTCGTAGCAATCCTTCGCCGACCATTTTCGGATATTGTCGAACACCGACGACATCACCATTTAGGGAGATGTCACATCGCGCGAGGTGAATGTCATTTTTTGTCCTTCTATTTTGTTCACTTCGCAGAAGTACATGTCGCGGAAATTGTCATGCGCGATTTGCTCAAAATTCAATGTGAATTTTCAAAACTAATATCGCCGGTGTATAACGGATGTGTAATTTTGTTAATTGAGTGAAAACTTCCAGTCATTTGGAAACAAACGAAGATGTAATGGTTGAAATGCATAGAAACGTATTATTTTTAGAAAAATATTTGTGTTAGATCTTCCGTTCTAAGAAACTACTGTAGGTGGCTCATCGACAGTCTTACACGTTGCATATGTACGTTGTGGTACTAATGTGCTGATATCTTGTAATATTAAAACATGCGTGGACGCACACACGCACACACGCACAATGGGCAGACCGGCCACGATACCATCTAAGGTATACTTCGGGCGTTAGCTCGAAGCGACTTCCAAACCTTTCTTTCGGATATGTCATCCGGTCTGCATCCTGTTTCATCATGATCTCCGATTGGACCAGACGGTAACAGAGAATTATGTGGTGTTGTATCTCGAATGTACTATCAGTTTCAATTTTGAACAGCTTGAATTAATTACATCCACCGGCATTCTCCGAAATGGATTTTTCTTTAATTATTTCTCTTCTCTGAACATTATTTTATGGATGTGTGTTTTTTTTTTACAGTTCGTTCTTCGTTCTATTCTAAATATTTCAAAAGAATTTTGATTGGCTTTTTTGCTGCGACTTTGTTCACATTTCGTAGAAAATGTTGAAACATTGATACAAGCGGAGAAAAACACTGCTTACTCTTTTTAGCGAGCGTTACAAAAAGTGATAGAAAAACTCAAGAGGAAAAAGTATATTGAACTTGGAATAAATTACTGATCGAAGTGGTCTCTTCAGATGTAGAAATTCCTTGATGTACGGCATTCGCGTAGATTCTATATGTGTAAGCTTTCAGATAGCAAAGTCCCGTCGGCATGTTCTTCGACTTTTATCCCGCGGAATTGCCTTCCTTCCTTTTCCTTTTAGCGGCACAAACTTTTTGCGGGATCGTCACCGAGATGCGAAGTACCGCACGTCTCAGCCTAGTTTGGACACGCTAACGTCACCGCATACAAATTTCTCGTGTTGTCGTCCTTTCCGAGATTATCTTTTCTTACATTTAGCGCTTGTTTGTGCTTTCCTGTTTTTTTTTTTCGCAAAGATTTGCACACGCTAATAAATCGTCATCGATTGTAATTTATAAGACACACGACTCTGTTATATTTTTAGGAAATGAAAAAACATCATATGTATTCATGCAAATGTGAAAATACATATGTATAAAGAAATCGCTTTGTGTTATGCGTATGCTAATTAAACATCTTGACGTCAGATCCGGTTCGGATACAACCGTAATTTTATTAATCTTCTGATAATTCAACACGAGAATGTAAGCGTTGCTTCGCGAAAGTAATTTGGTGATCGGCAATCAACTTGGCGACTCCCCGAGATGCGCCAAGATTCCAGCTGCTTAAGATTATTCGCGATCGTAATCTGTAATGAAGATTCGTTCGAATGTTTTTGCTAATTACAGAATACACCGGACGAGCACGTAGACCGAGAAAGAAGCGCGGAAACTCGTTCTCACACATTCATGAAGTTTTATAGCAAATGTGTGTACAAGCGATGTCATTGCTTCAAAGTTACGATCCACTTGTTGACAAAATGCGTATTTGAGAAAAAATTATTTAGTCACGCACACAGCTTTTAAATATCAAATGATGATAATCGCGAAATGTTCGAGCTCCTTTTTGGTCGCTTCTTTTGAGTCGTTCGAATCTACGGACTGTAATGAATCATCTTGGCTACAAAACGGTTCGGACTCGTTCCAGAGCAAACGAATGTGTTCAAGGAGCCTCCGCTAAGGCGCGACGACGAAATGGCAGTAATTTTATATGCCTACGTACTTTGTCGACACGGTGACATCTTGCAACGCATGATTAGCGTCGACGACGACGGTTACGTCGCGATGCCATTATCAACGGGCAAATTGAGTTTAATGTGGCGACTTGGGCGTTACAGCCTTGGAAGATATTAAATGATGTTAGGATTGTCCGATTGTGGTAGTCAATCCGTATCTACATATTGAGTCTTTCGCTTCTAAGACGGACAATTTTAGATCATTTTAAAGCAATGATATATCACGCGTAGTCAACACACACAAGAGTGACGGATTATCGCGATATGAAAATTTTCCCAAGTGTAATCCTTTCTCCGGTCTCTCCGGAACAAAAAGTATAATTGCTATTAGTTAATGACCAATCCATTATAGTACAAATATAATAGTACATATGTACATAAAGTACTTACATATTCAATACATATCGGTATAATGTGTACAACAGAATTAAAAAAAATGTGTTACAAAATTAAAAAAATTTAATAAATGTCAAAAAATTCAAAATATTGTATGAACTATTTTAAAAATATTCCAACAATCACGCATTCAAAATAAATAAAAGAATTTAATTTGCACTATAATGGAGTACAATATAATAAAATTCTTTCCATTAACTTAAGAAACAAAAAATATGTAGATATCACAAAATATATAATTATATGTAAGTATAATAATCATATTAAATATTATTTACAGACAGAAAACAGGACATTTGGCTCTCAAGTTAAGGACGATATAGGCTATCTTCATTCGAACCATCAGCGATCTGCTGTGGAGCACTTACCAAAGAACAGTAAGTGTAACGTTATCTTTTGTTTACATAAAGTTCTGATTTTCACAATATTAAAGCTTGCTTGAATATCGTGAATTTGTTTTTGCAGGAGCGACAATAGTGTTGTCGCATTTTACAGGCTGGAGCGAATGGTCAGTATGCAATCGGCACTGTAAGCAAAACCGCGTTCGTAGATGCCGATCGAGGAAAGTTTGCGGAAACACTATACTTCGAGTAAATATTTAAACCATATGTGTAATTACGCCGAGGAACAATTTTACATGAATAATTTTTCATTAATAGTTTGTCACGATATAGGAGGAACGCGGTTGCAAGCATAAGAGAGAATTTCGTCAAAGACGATGCAAGCAACGTGAGAGCCGCGGATCCCAACGGAAGAAAGACAAGTTTCACGTGGTCCAAGTGAGTCACAATTTGCAGAATGATAAGAAATTATTCACTTTCTACATCAACATGCATAAAAAACTTGAAAATGCTTTTCTATAATCAAAAACGCGAGACAATAAGTCTATTTGTCGAAAAAAATCGAATGAATCAATTCTAGATGCCTAAAGTAGCAGAGCCTAGATACGGAAAGCGAAAAAACAAAGACACCAAGGAGCATTACAAAGGACAGTACGGAAAATGGAGCAAATGGTCGCACTGTTCGAAACGGTGTACTACGCAACGCCGCAGGTACCATATTTGTATATAAATTATCAAATTTCTATGTAATCACGTAATCAATATCAACACGCACGTACGTATTTGCTTTCAATTAGAACGTGCAGGAAACCCGGTACCTGCGAGCAGGATGTGATACGAGAGATCGCTTTATGTTATGTTGAAAATAGCTTTTGTCAAACATTGATCCATCGGAAAATTTACTACGAGGAAGACGGTAACGGTAAATAAAGTTTATACACAACGGTGGATATTTGAAAAATGAGAATAGCTGATTTCACTGATTTTTTAGATATGGTATTGGATGAGTTCGAACTCAATCCCAACACGGTGGATACCTTCGCTGCAGAGAAGAATTCGAATAGTTGGAAGTGCGGAGTGACGAACGCACATAAAGATTCTAGACTGTCATATTTTATGCGAATTATTGGCGGTCGTCCGACCACACCTGGAAAGTGGCCGTGGCAAGTGGCTGTGTTGAATCGATATCACGTACGTAACGACCAACACGAATTTTATATTCTTACTAAATAAGTGTACTGAAAATAAAGTCAAAATTAATCAAAAATGTTTTCTCAGGAAGCATTTTGTGGTGGAACATTGGTGTCTCCAAAATGGGTGCTAACTGCCGCGCACTGTATTAGAAAACGTCTGTTCGTCCGCATTGGAGAATACGATTTGACAGTAAACGAAGGAACGGAAATAGAACTTAGAGTACGTTACATTAAAAATCAATAAATACTGTCATTTGCTAGGAATTATTAATTCTATTAATTATTAAATAATTTTTTTACAATCCCGTAGGTGGAATCTGTGTTCATTCATCCGGATTACGATGTTGACACAGTCGATAACGACGTGGCGCTACTTCGTTTGCCGGTCAATCTGACTCCATCATCCTCGAGAGGAATCGCGTGCATGCCCGCGCCAAAGCAATCTTTACCTACTAAACAGTACTGCACTATTATCGGCTGGGGAAAATCCAGTGTGACGTCTGGATTCGGAACAGATCAGTTGCACGAAGTCGAAGTACGAGATATTAAACTGATTACAAAATACGAAAGAACGAAGTTTGTTCATTTTGTCAGTTTTATACACTTTAATTGTTTACACGTAAAAAACATCTCTTTTATATCGACCGCATATAAAGAAGTGTTTTTTCTGTTGCTTTCAATATAAATAAATAAAAATTATAAAAACGTCGGATTTTTAATTTCAGGTTCCAATAGTATCCGCTGGACATTGCAAGCAAGTTTATCAAGAGTACAAAATCACAAACAACATGTTCTGCGCGGGATATCATCAAGGACGAAAGGATTCGTGCGCAGGCGACAGTGGAGGTCCTCTACTTTGTAAAGATCCCGAGAAACCCGATCGTCCGTGGACAATTTTTGGTATCACCAGTTTCGGCGAGGGTTGTGGCAAACGCGGTAAATTTGGAATATACGTCAAGATACCTAATTACGTGCGCTGGATTACGAGGGTAATAAAACAAAACACGATTAAGAAAATTGTGTTACGTTGATTGTAATTGTAATTAGCTCTGTGCGAAAATGATCAAAACACGAATTTTCTCAATTTATATTACACACCGATAGATTAAAAACTGCAGAGTTCGCATTCGACTAGTAAACACAAAACTAATATTATAATGCAATTTGTTATTGCGTTACATATTTTTCTTTCTACAAAAATGTTTGTACGATTTTAAAGAATCAAGAAATGTAGTTTTTTTTTACATAAATTAACGCAATCAAATATGTTTAAAGTTTTTCTTTGTTTGTCATACTCACCTGTACACCTTTTAATCGATTATTTATTCAGGATTAATGGACACAACGTTAGAAAAAATGTAAGAGAAAGATGTTTAGACATCTTGTAGGTTTTGCATCATTTTTATACAGTGTATTTTATTTTTCGTCGTATTGCATTCGATCAATGACAATAAGAAACAAGATACAAAACGTAGAAATAAAACTTGAGTGTGTACTGCGTGATTCATGACAGTTTACATCTTCGAAATATGCGGGTAAGTAAACTGTATAAGAAAACCGATGAGATTATAAGGCAATCTTGAAGCAACATTTCGAATGGGCAGAAGTTCCGTTATTGGAAGAGTTCTGTAATTCGACGCTATAATCTAACATTGTGCTGCCATCTTCTGCAGACTTCGAAGCGCGTATCGATCTTGCGAACACACGCAGCTTCTTCGGTACAGAAGATCGCAAGCTACATCCTAATAACGACCAGCGAGGAGATCCGATCTTAATAACGGTATCGATATAAAGTACTATAATATCATTAAGCATGTATTTTTACGTGAGAAAACTTATCTTCTAAACTTAATTAAATTTACATTTCGAGAAATCCATTTCGGGATGTTGTTCCATAAATCTGAAAAAAAAAATAATAATAATAATTGAACAAATTATTCGAATGTCTAAACAACAGTCTGCAATGCGGCATTGCAAAGCTATCGATAAGTTTATTATTTCTTTGTACTTTTTAATAACGTCCTGTTTCTTTTGTTCATCCGACGTCGGAAGTCCCAGCTCCTTCTGTCTCTGATCGTACATCATTTTCTCCACCAAACCTCTCGTTTCTCCATCGAGATCGGAAAGCTTGCTAGGTTCGGGATTTACTTTTTTTGTGCTGATTTCTGGTTCGCTCGTTACAACGTGTGCCCACCACTGCATTTTGTTAATCTGCAAGCAAACACGTCAGTTCCGACGAGCTGTTGTGAGAAACATCGCAATCTATATATTATGTTACACACACACACACACACACACACACACACACACACACAGTACGATGTAATCAATCTTACTTAATATGCATGGTATTATCACCTTTAGATTTGTTTTTTATTTCACACGATCATCATAAAGACACGGATAATTTTAAAACGTTGCTCAATTAAATTCTAACTTTCGCGCGTGCAAGGACAAAAATCCATCCGCTAATTCGCAATCGGTCAGGCGCATTTTGAATCATCGTCTGCGACTTAGAACGATCTTAAGAGCGAGCTCGGAATCACCGTTCCGGCAAGGTCGAAGATCGTCGAGGCCGCGAAAAAGCGTATTACTGTCGCGCGGGTGCGAACTGTGGCGCATACATATATGTGCGTGTATCCCACGACTCACCTTTTCGAGATTAATCAATAGTACTTTTCCGTCTTCAATTACCCAAGTGGACTCCTCAAGTTTGACCTCGTGCGGGAAATCCCCGGTGAGAATAGGCGGATGGCCCTTCAGTCCGCAGCTCAGATGCTTCTTCGTGATCGTCACTGCCAAGTCTCTCGGTCTGGCCGAAAAGTTGATCTTTAATGGAACTCGAATCTGTAAACGCACAAATAGCAACGCGCGATTAACTTAGTCCTTAAAAACGCATATTATTTACATGCGGTGGATGTTCTATTTTTATAAGACTTGCTTAACAAAGTGACAATGATAATATTCTCTGTATCGTAAACGAAAAATGAATCATCTGTTTGCATCTTTCCTATTCTTTCTTTTTTATTTTCCGTTCACGCCTTTCTTGTCTCATAATTTAACGTGAACTTGAGCCAATTTATCTCAACGGACGGTCTTGATATAAATGACACGCAACAAACTGCGGACCCCCGCGGATAGTTGGGACACCAAAACAGAGAGAAAGAACGAGAGAGAGAGAGAGAGAGAGAGAAGAATGTATATAGAATGATCGATCGACCGATGCGACAAGGGTGAGAATCTCGTTCCGCACGAGCGGGCTTTTTGTCCTTCTGCGATTAAGATCTGCGTTGCAGATCATCGTGATACGAATCGCACTGACCTCGAAGGATGGATTTCGGAAACGAAAAATCACAATGTTCTCAGAGGAAAAAGCCTTGAACTTTCGAAAGATTCGCAATTCACAGTCATACGAGAACACAGCTGGAAGATGAAAGACACCGTAACGATCTACGAAATGGCACGGATATTTTTGGAGAGACACCTCGTTAACCACGAAGAGTACTTTCTTTAATTCGTAGAATAAGTGTGCGAATCAGATCTTGACTTTGGGTCATTGCCAGTTCGCGCAGATCATAAGATCAAGAGCAAACCAGTCGCGAGCACAAACGCATGCCCTAATATGCAAAAGCGTTTCGGAAATGTCATACGATCCTTTCTCTATCATTTGTTTGCGCGATTAATCGCTTGTCGGTCTCAATTGTGAAAAATCATGATCGAAAAATAATTCGTCGATAATCTTGATGAAACTGTGGTCGTAAAACAATGTGTTACAATTCCAGATCTCCTAATTTAATTACATAGACAACTGTGTGTACACAACTTATTTGAATTTATTGCGATGTGAAGTATACGAGGCGGTAAAATTCATTAACATATTTATGTATCATCCCGACAAAGTGGTTTCCGCGCGTAAACACATCGTGTGTCTGGACACACTCTTCAATCTCGATTTGTCTCGAGCACACAATTTAACATCCGTTGAAGTTTATTACGCATGCAAATTCCGCCGTATTATCTTGGACCTTACCTCGAATTTTTTCCGGTTGATATTATTCAAATGACAAGGTAAGGCCTCACCGCACATAGCGTGTGTATCTGCGCAATTCTTGCGCTACGTAATTCACGTATAGCTTTGTTTCGCGCGCGACTTTCAACGATAGCGTCATTCAGTCATCGACAGCTTTTGAATTGCGCGATCGAGCCAACGCGTTTGTTAGACCAATATAGTTTTTTTTTTTCTAAATGATTTCCTAATAAGCGTGATCTAATTAGACGAAGTCGGCAGAAACATGTGCGCTACCTTCGGTTTTGACGTGGCAAATATTACATGGCAACTTGTAGATATCAAGAATTTGACAAACTGTCATTTACGTTAGAAAAGAAATAAAACAGGAGTTAAAAATACAAAAATATAAATAAATAGAGATAAAAAAATAAAATGTTAATTAGAAACAATAAATTATCTCTAGTATATCTACACAAAGAAATTAGAAATATGATACAAAAATAAAATTCAAAAAAAACTTCGAGGTTTAGTTCAGTTTTCAAAAGTTTTAGTTCAAACTTTTAACCAAGAGTCGCATTTATTTTGCTAATCACCTGTGGTATCCAGCCTATTGGTCTATTTCTGATTTAATTTGAGTTTTAGATTTATTGATGTATTACATAGTTTTCGTGGAGTTTTCAATTAATTTTAACATTTCACGATTTTTATAAGCGACTCGTGCCGTGACGCGTTTACGGGAATCGTCATCGTTTAGTTAGTCGTTCTTGGATTTTCAGCGAAGACGGAGAGGACGACGACAACGAGAATAGTTACGGCAGAGTCGGGTGCACCGGTGCGTGGAAACGGATCATGGCTACCGACTTTGTGCCTGTCGTTAACAAAGTGGAATATCATTATAAAAGTGACGAGAAGAGGCGAGGAAGCGAAGACGGTCGGTTAGCGCTAAGGCTGCTCACTTTATCGAGGTCTAATCCAAGTAGACTGTGAAGTATACGCTTTAACAATCTTCAAGTCGCACATTCATGGAATTCCCGCCACTAGATGTTTTATAATAGGGTATTCCAATCAAGATAATTATTTGCGCGGTGAGTTGAGTTATTGAGTTTTTAATTAATTCATTGTTTGTTAATGCGCTACTCTCAAGCGAGATATTATTTCGCCTAGTCAATGTCAATGCCGTATATGTTTTTTTTCTCGTAAACTTCAAATAGTAACGTGCAAAGAGAGGTTTTTCCGCGATTGGTAACCACAGCTGTATTGACGCAACTTCTTCTGAGAAGTTTTTGATTAAACGAAGTAAAGATCAAAGACACGTTTTTTATACACACGACTATTTTAAATAACTGAACACGACAAACACTCGCCACGCGCGCATTATTTATACTTATGCGTCTCACAATAATCTCAAAAGTATATATTTAGACAGCAGCTCAAGCAAATCAAACCGTACAACAAAAATTAGCATCTCGATAAAAGTCAATTAGCATCTCGGTAAAAATGACAACATCGAGAGAACTTCGATACATTCGAATATCGAATTTTTTTAATGAAAGAGAATACATTTTGATACTTTTATCAAAGCACACAGCAAAACTATTTTGTCAACTTTATACGTCATCAATATACGTAATCAAATTTAAACTTTTAGAATGCCTAAAACTAATACGTTTGAAAATAAACTTTTAACGAGAGTTGTGTGGGACTTTTCTTTAAAATGACCACTATTCCCTTTTTTCTATCGATGAATATTTTGCTGTTTTCATTGCTATTCCTATCAGTTCAACCTGGCACTCGTGTAAAGCAGACGCGTCTTGTTGATGCTATCCGCGATGGCCAGACTTGCGAAACGTCTGTTCTCATCACTATCGTATAGCACCGCATCGAGATCGTACGTAAACGTACTTCTCACACGCGTATGTAGAAGCGCGCTTTTAGTTAAGTGCACATTATTACATATGATTGACAGATACTGGCGACGATGTCCATAAAGAGCAGCATCACTGACCATTCGTAATGGAAATGCGCAAGAGCGCGATTAGAAGTGGATATTATACAACTACTGTGTGTGAATTGTCAAGCTTTGCAAAATAAATATGTGTATATCCTTGAATTTGTACAAACAAAAAACAAAGATAACTTGTCTTGCTCAATCCGCAAAATAAATGTTAAATAAATGTTGAAATAAAATGTTTGAATATAAAATTCTATTGAATATAAAAAAATGTTCTCGATATATTAACAATTTTCTTCTTTTGAGTTATTTAATAGCATTATATTAGTTTTAGAGCTGGCTAGTGATTCATACGAAGAGACCAGTTCAAATTCTAGAAATTTTTATTATTATTTTTTTTTTTATATACCAAGAACAGTTATAAAAATGACACATCCGGACTTCAAATATCCATATTGGATCGTTTGTAACGGGTTTATAGCCGCGGAGAATTCCGATGAACGCCTCGTCATAACAATAAAACCAAGGATTGTCCGCGTGATTCTTAAAAAATTATGCATCATTACATACAATCTCTTCTTTAATCGTCCATAAATAATCATTAAATACATGCAAAGTTAATTAAAAAAACATCACTCGGATTAACCAAATTCTGCGAAATTACATTTCTTACGCATATGATTAACGGTGTTTCCAAATGACAGGAACATCGGAATTAAACATAATACTATACGTTTAATCGCGTGCATATAGTTAGCTCAATGTCGCGGGATTCCTTTCAGAAACTTCGCGTTATTGTACGAGATAATACGTACGTATAATTAAGTTACTAGACAAATTACGCATTTACGTTGGCTTAAAATCTACAATTTATTTAACCATTTGTAAATGACACGGATGAAATAACTTTTTTACAACCAGTCACGTGTGCGACAGTTAATGTGATACTTTCGCGTGTATTTGCGAATTATTTCGACGCTTTTTGATGTTTGTAAGTGACACGTAGGCGCTAAAAATGACGCTAAAACATAAAGGATCGTGCAGTTCTCTCGGTGTTAAATGTATATCTTTATTGGGATCTTTTTGGCAACACACGATTTTTGTCGCCGAGCAAGAGAATAACGTGACTGTGAAGGCTGTTACACGCGCGTTGCTACGCCCACGGATAACCGATTTTTATTTGGCAATTCGTCGGAATCCTTGATACTAAAGGATCAACATATTTATATATACCATCGCGCCTCGATTGTGTAACCGAATAGTTCACTCGTTACTCACAATGTTCGATTCTTCTCCACGCGCGAAAATCTCTCGACGATATAGATCAAAATTTATAATCCGCAGCTCTTTCACGCTGATTCGATGTGTTTCACTTAGCAGTTTTGCCAAAAGAGATATTTTTATTGATTTAATTTTGTGTAAGTAAAGTTCGGAACAACAAAAAAATGAATAATATGTGAGAAAGATAGAACGTTTTGTGTACAAGACAACAATTCCATTTGTATCTGATAGTTGTCTGAACGTTGTTTGGTTGGCACAAATGCTTATTTTAAGAGTCAAGTGAACGAGCGTGTACGTAATAATGTGCATTCAATGATTGATCCTCCATAAATCTTTAACATCGCATTAAATATTCATGGCGACGATATAATGGACACTATGAAGAAGGTCTCACCTGGCGACGGACGGTGGAAACGACAAAAGACGAGAGACGAATAAGAATGCGGACGTCGTTTGTGATGTCACGTCGGCCCGAATAGTCTTATACGCGAAGTACTCAAGTCGCGCTCTTGTCTCACTTTTATCACACAAGCTACAAAAAATAATCTCGGCGCTTTTTATTATATACTGCCAAATATATTATACCGAATGATATTTATTATATAC